CATTAGAAAGTTTTAGGGCAGGGTCCGCAAAAATATTCACAGGGCAGGGCAGGATCAGGTTACAAAAAATTTACAGGGCAGGTTACAGGTTATAAAAATCCTGCACCCTGCAGCCCTCTAGTGGTCAATTAATAACGAATGAGAGAAAATTCACTCTGTATAGGCTATTATACAAAATGTTTGCAATCCAATTTGATTGAACTGAGGCGTAAACGTAAATACAACAAAGACGAGTGAATCATTTGTCGGCCAAACTGTCATGTTTGTCATTTGCAGACCGGTGATAGTTTTTGACATCATAACATCAGCAATACCGATCACATTAGGATCACAATTATTCAGTACAAATAAATTGAAAGTAGTTGGAACACCAGCTATAATCTCATAACAATCTGATGCAGGTAATATAATTGGTACAGTTGGGCATTCTGGTAGTGGCATAACATATATTAAAAATTGAACTGGTACTGAACTCATCGGAGTTGTACTTGTTGTATTTATGAAGTCCTCCACCTATTCAAAATATACTAGTAGTTATAATTCAAAGAGTAACGTGTTGGTATACATATTTCAAACAGTCTCTCCATTTATCGGATTTCAATATGGGAATGTTTGACCGACAGTCATCCTCTTGTCTATAGTGTATGCGATAAACATGATAGTCCGTGAATATTTTTCTATAGCTCAAAAAATGTTCACTTCACTTCTATCAGATTCTTTATTGTGACAAGAAAAGTTCATAAGAATGTCGCTACGCACTAAAAGCTCAAGGTTCTTACACTTGAATATCATCGTATTGCAAACTGAAACATTTCGAAACAAGCTGCATGTTTTGAAAAAATTTGTAATTGATATGACTTAAAAAGGAAATACCATAGCCTTAAAATAATCATCGTGAACTTGTGTTGTTCGTGAAGATAATAGGAAGTGAACTAACTCAATGACTACATGATCCTAGGTAAATACCACCATGTGAACAGAAGAAACCCTTCTTTTCTTGCTGAATGCTGTAACAATGATTTCTAATCGTTATCTACAAACCGAATTCGGATCTGGTTGGAACTCTCTCCGATGTCTATACAGAATTCTGAAATGATAAATGTTTCGTCAAATATAAATTTTCAGTTCCACTTACTTGAAGGGAGATTGCGTACCAAGTGTTAGGTATGAGTCCTGTAAATGTGAGAGTGCAGTTTGATGATAAAGTTGTGCCGTTTGGAACACTACTTGGATAACAAATACCACCGCATTCGTCAATTGCTTGACGATTGGCGTAAGATATTGTTGTCGGCAATGTTCCTGGAGTTTCAGTTGTAGTTGTTATGTCGGGACAAGTAGGGTTTATAGTGCAATACCAATTACTGCAAAGAGTTCCTGCGCAGGCAGAACTTTTGCAGCAACATCCGTAGCTACATGTGCTAGAACACCAACTGCACTTAAACCCTCTTTTTTTTCTGATTTGAGCGACACTTTTTTCTGCACTCATGTTTTCATGTACTTCATCCTCTGATTGACTACGTCTGTTCTCACCTTGATCCGCTTGTCTTCTTCTTCGATATCCGGGTATGTACGCTGACCATCGACAACGCAAGTCATCGCCTGCATTGACATCTGATACAGGTATCTGTATCTGTGTTGTCGTATTTACAATAACGTATTGTGGTGAAATAATGTTCGCTTCTGGTGGACTATTGATTAAACCGTCTGCACGCATACGAAGATCAATGTAACAGGAAATCGACCAATAAGAACCACTTTTAGGAGGACTGCCCAGCGGTGCCCATGCACTTCCTTGATAAGCTAGATAGAAATGTGCATCTGCCCCCAGTGTTATATTGACCGAACGCTGGCTTGACATTATGCCTAATGATGAACTTGCCGAGACACAATCCGTTAAAATATCCACTGGATGAGTGGAATAGCCACCATCAGTCGAACAATCGGTTATACATGTTAGATTAGCGTTGGCGCTGCTTCGACCACTTGTCGAAATAGGTACATTATTGGCACAAGTAATTGTTGGGTACGTCCAAGAATATGATTGTGTGATAGCAATTGGTACCGAACTCGAGTTGTTATATGGATCGATTGGTTTCCATCGAATTGTTCCGCCATTAAAATGTTTGCCACCGATTTCGATGGGTGAAAGTAATGATACTAAGAGAAAAATAATCATTGGTCTCGATTTTGTTCAAGACATGAAAATCTAGAAAGATAAGCAATTTTTATGTATATTTTGGAACTAAAAACTTTTGAAGAGCCATATAAAAGAAAAATTTATCTCATAACCGAAACCTATTGGAGCTGTGTGTCCAATACAGATGGCTCAGACGCTTTGACGGCACACAGGGGCATAAAAAACGGCTTACTTCTGCCAGTTTTCACAGAATTGAAAAATATTCATCAATTTTAATACAATACACTATGATGCAACTCTTTTAGCAAAAAGAAAAGCAACTGGTATAGCAGCAGTTTCTCCGCGGTTATCAGATGGGACGTATATTTAATCGACGTATTTTTGCCTCTGACACTGCAAAATATTTGCCTAAACGATACCAGGTTTCACTTCATAAAACGACATTTTTACTCACAATACGAATGTGGATATTTACTTGGCTTACCTGCATAAAAAACTCTTTTCTCAATAAAAAAAAACATTGTAACAAAAATGCATTCTAGTGCGTTTGTGAGACGTTTGTTTTTTCTTCAATAGAAGATCGCGAAAAAATCGCAGTGGAACGCATGAAAAGAGTGCGTCCGAACCCATAACAGAAGATGCGTTCAAGTAGTACATAAAATGGCAGTGATTGAGTACATAAAACGGGTTTCAAATAAAAAACGATAAATCTAAACACAAGAATAGCATTTTTATTTTGAAAGTTGGCGTTGAAACGCGGTTTTACATAATATTTTTTCCATGAGTATTTTGATGGAAGTCACATGTGAGTTATTTATATAACTAGGATTTTATCTATAGTGTTGACTACAACAATTTTCATTGAAACAAACCAATTGGATTAGACCTTACGTATCAGTCGATAGGGCATCAAATGCTCAACAACCGTATACGTCGACACATGAAATTGAATGTTGCGCCGTATGCTTTTGAGCCACACCCTAAAAAGTCACTTGTTGTGAGCACAACAGACAGGTAATGATTCACATGATTTTCCACGCTTTTCTCAGATCTACAGTTATATCTTCTACACAATGCTGCCACACCAAAGACTCTAATACAATGAAAAAATATATCGAGAAAACAACTTTGCTTTTTCTTCTTTCCGTCATCACATTTTGGGGCATATAGTCAGTGAAAGGTACATGAGAGATACAGGGCGTTTCTGTAATAGTAACTAAGAAGTAAATTAATCACTACCACTACGAAAAAACGGGAGGAACTGCAGACAAATATTCTGCATATCACATGCAACAAAGTACTGATAGAACTAGGTTGGGTCATTAATCGCACTTTGTGTTTTCGCTTAAACGCACTTTTCTTATGATACTATTGGAAGAACTTCTTCTTGATGTGAAATTATTTGAGACCAACGTTTCGAAGTTACGAACTTAAAATATTGAAAAATCTGATTGTTACATGACTTCGTCACGAAGTATCCACCACAATCATAACTATACATAAAAGTTACCATTTAATTTTTATCGGATTACAATGTGAAATACGATGAAGTTGTTAGGCACGAATAAGAAATTGATCTTTCATATCCACATGACCCGCCAAATGGTCTAGGGTGCATCATCATGAACTGTTTGTGGTAGTCTGCGATAGGAGCTAATATGCCATATTAGTGGAGGGAAAACAGTTTTCTTGAACAAATGAATTTCAAATAAATTGAGAAACTAAAACTCAGAAACTCGAATACTGAAGATCTAAAATTCATTGATTGAAAAAAATATCAAAATAGTATCTTGAAACGGCGATTATGGCCTGTGATGCTTAGAGTGGACGTGTTTATATGGTAAATACGAAAAATTGTAGAGATGATAGATGGAACCAGTCTGAAAAGTCAGATCGAATCGAACTGGCCCATATACCGGCTTTGACCAGTCTGACAGTAATCAGGACTGCAACCAGGAGACTACGAGCGACGTCTGTGCACCACCCTTGACCAAAGTCACACTTGAACGGGAGTACGGATAAAAACTATTTTTGCGAAGTAAAAGTTATTTTTCTGTTGGTGTGCACCTTCCTTGGAAAATTCCTCCTTGCTCCTACATCTCCATTCCATCGGTTGTAGGTCGATTCTTAGAATGGTATCTTGTTTCATAGTGAACTCTCACAAGTTACTAACTGATATCATGAATCTGAAATATCTGAGCAATTGTCTATTCATATGCAATATGAGATTTTCTACAAAAGATAACAATAATTGGAATATCAATCTATTATATTAGTCTAATATAATACATTAATATTCCGATCGCTTTTGTTTTTTTATAGAAAATCACACATCGAATATTAGCACACAATTGTTCAGATATTTCAGAATCATAAGTTCATAGATCTGCGGTTTGAATCCTTATTCGGTTTACTCTTATTTTTGTTACTCAGAACCTTCTTTCATACAAGAATAATTAACTTTATCCAAGTTTACTTATATACTTACATATCTTTTAAATTTGTAACAATGTTTTATTTCTGTTAATTACTTTAGTGGGCTTGGTATCTTTAGTTTTTTTAGAGTATGGACCGGA